CAAATTGAAGATTTAACCCCTAGTATATTAAGGTTTTTTTGACTTCTTCATCTTTTTCCCTTCTCTGTTTTTTTATTTTTTATTTTTTATTAATTTTTAAGAATATATGCCGATGACGATGAGAAAGTTCCCAGTTCTCCGACATCTGTCACCATGTCCAATTAGAATTAAGTAATTACTCGTACAGTATATCATGAGATCAGATTATTAATTTCATTTAATTAAACAATTAATGGTTCGAGTGACGTGTTAAGTGTGCATTGTTTGGACCATAGCCTGCCATTTGCCACGCTACTCACACAACTTTGTTTCCTTCTTATTGGTCACCTTATATGTACTAAAAGCAGTGGTCCAGATCAAACTTTAGTTAATTAAACTCAGGGTCTAATATAAATCCAACCCTCAATCATGTCTGTTTTGAGATTGTTGTGAAGAGCCTTTAATAATTCCAGTATTGTGCTATTTTTTCTGTTTTGAAATAATAATTTTGTTTATAAAGGATTTAGAGAAAATTTTTTCTTTACCTATTACTTATATATATTATTCTTAAAAAAATAAAAAAGAAATTTATTTTTGTAATGGAATGCATAATTAAAATCAAGAGATAATAATAGTGTTTTAGAGAAAAGTAAAAATTAAAATATCATGACACTTTAAATCTTAGCACTTTATGTGAAATTATTCAAATATTCTTAATAATTTTTTTTAATTTATTAAAAATATTTTAGTCTTTTTATCGTCATTCTTTTTATTTTTTTTTGTTGTGGACCATCTGATATCCGGAAATCCATTAAGCCACCGATTAATCCAGATTTAAGTCAGACAAGACCTAATGAGTAACAAAACTCCCCTTCACGAGTTTTAATAAAACTGTATTTTATCGTCATTCTTGACATAATAATTATCATGACATTCTAATTTTTCTCAATCCTTAAAGTTAAAGTGGAAAAAAAATATTTTTCTTTCTTCAAATATGAAGATAGAAGGATTATATTGTAAAAAACTATATTGTTTAGTATAATTATTATTAAAATATTAATATATATTAGACTTAGTTTATAATTTGAGACTTTCAAATTTAGTTGTGTATTTTTTTAAAATATCATTTAATATGTTTACTTTTATTTCACTCTTATTTTAAAAAAATGATTACAATATATATTAAATTAAAAAAGTTATTTAAGTAGTGATTAATTATGAATAAACATGAAATTTATCTTTATTTTATTAAACAAAAAAAATTATATATATATACATCCTAAAATTGAACATGGATTATTATTTTTTAGTTATGCATAGCAGACTAGCAGAATACACAGGAAAGCATTGTAAAAGTAAATCTCAAACATAACCTTAATGTCCCAGCATTTACCAACAAGTATTGGGAATCATTGTATTATTGTATGACCCGTGACAAAAGTGAAATCCATTGGTCGTGTTCCCATATGCTCTCTTCTTGGGATATCCGCAATCTCTCTCTTCTTTTTTCTACTTTTTTTTAACATTTTACAATCCCTCTCTATATATACCCCACACATGCGACACTCTTCTTCCCATAACTCCTCATTTTTCAAACTGATCTTCTCTCTGTCTCTGTTAACATGGCGGAGCTGGATTACAGTCAGGGTAATAAATCCAACGCTACCACAGCCACACGCTTAAAGATTTTTGGCTTCAATGTCTCCGACGATGAGGATGTAGTGTTGGACTCAGCCAAATCAGGCGTCCCGCCGGAGGCTGCTGGGTTTGCAGCCACCGGTGACAGAAAGTATGAGTGTCAGTACTGCTGCCGAGAGTTTGCAAATTCTCAGGCCTTGGGAGGTCATCAGAACGCTCATAAAAAGGAGAGGCAACAGCTAAAGCGGGCCCAGCTTCAAGCCACGAGGAACGCCGCCGTTTCATTCGCCAGGAACCCCATGATTTCTGCTTTCGCTCCTCCGCCCCACCTCCTGGCGCCAGGTCCACCAGTTGTGATGCCTGCCGGGGCTGGGCCGTCGTGGGTGTACTTGCCTCGTGGAGGGCCACCGCCGTTCCACGTATCGCATGGGTGTGTGATACCGAGTGGTGGTGGGGGAAGGGGTGCCGGAGGGTTGCCGTATGGTGGGGGTGTAGGAGGGGATTCAGGGTTGCGAATTGGGCCACCGATGGTGCAGGGTAGGGCCCACTACGGGCGGAGTGTTGATGGGCCATCGTTGAGTAGGTTCTCAAAGGGGGACGGTGGGCCCACTTTTGATGAAGCATTGGGCTTAGATTTGCATCTTAGTCTTGCACCTGCAGGGCCCTGAGTTTGGGTTTTGGTTTGCTTAGACTCAAAATCAGGGATCATTGTACATTTTTCAAATTTATTTATTTATTTTTTTCAAGGATTCACTTTACACAAAGCCTTGCCCCTTACTACATTTTAGTTGTTCAAACTCAATTTGTATTATAGATGATGTGTATATATGGGCATATACATGTACAATTCGCCCTAAATATATATTTGTTTAAATGGGTTTGCACGATTAAATTAAAAATTGAGGGGGAGAAACAAACTCTTTAATTAATTGGTACGTTGTCTCATGAGTTGTGTCCTTTACAGCCAGAAATGAGAAGCCGACAGAGTGCCCATTCTTTTGCCACACACTAATTCTTAGCATCACTAATGCTAGGTGTTTTTAAAAATTAATGGTGTTGTTGTGAATTGAATAACAAGTTAAGTTTTGCTTAGTATTATTTTTGTTTCTGGGTTTTTTTTAAACAAATACTATATATAGTAATTTAGGTTCTTCAATATAATATTTGTTATTAAATTAAACAAAAATGATACTAAATACAACCTACATTAGAAATAAAAGGTGGAGAGGCATTGTTTTTGGAAGTCTTCCTAATGTAGATTGTTTTTCACTTTAGGCGTGTAACTCAAATTCTAGGTCTATATATGTGTTTCTCCATGTCGAAGTTCTTGATTTGAATCCCTCATCTTTTTAATTTGTAAATGATTTCAGAAAAAGGATTGCATGCATTTGGTGTCTCGTTTTCAATTAATTAAACTAGATATAGTTGGGATTGATTTGTGAGGACAATTCAAGCTGGACAGCAACTTGTAGGCATAGAGGCATCTTTTCTAAACTTTTAGGTGGAACATGTACTAACTCAAGGGGTAATTTATATAATGGATTCTTGCACAATCATCTCATCTATATGTAATCCTTAATTTGTCTTACCATGTTTGTACAAATTAGCAAAGACTTGTCCAAAGTACAGAGGAATCTTTTATGAAAAAAGATTAAAGATGAAGATTCAGATTTTTTTTTGTTTAATATTTTTAGTTATATAATAAATGACATGTAACTCTCACTTGACTTCTTACCTACTTCCCTCATATGTCTGCAATTTTAATTTAAAATATTTTATTTTATTTAAAAGAGATATTACTAGTAAACTACTTAAGTGGTCAGGAATTTTTTTTAATGCTGAATATCTTGTTTCTCTTAATTCTTTTGGAGGGTGAGACATATGACTGAAGAATATCTAGAACCAAAAAACTCTTCAACTAACCCACCGATAGTTAATTGCTGTTTCTTGTCACCTTCTCCATATTGACTCTAGGATGATGGAATAGGGGACCATCACATGCAGACCAAAATACCCCACACTTTGAAATTTTGCAAGTAAGCAAAAAGATAAGTAATAAGATGATGACATGTGACCCTACCCTAGTTTTTGATCAGTCAAAAACCAATAGTTTCTCATAGGAGCATAACATAAAAATTTAGAGCTTAATTAATTATAATCTCAAATTCTTAATTAGCTTGTTCATAACCTAAATGGTTTGGTTGCTGTCCAACATGAATCAGCAAGACCGAATTGTTGAGAAATTAAACAATGGCTTCTTAGCAATGTGCTTATTTACAAATCAGCAACTAGATGCTAGTGGGCAAAGCAAAGTTTACGTGTTATATGCACTTAAACATGACACTTTATATCGTGCCAAACCACCTAATGCATCATTAAAACTCTAAATTATTAATTAAAAAACAACTTAATTACAACGGTCAAAAGGGCAGGTGGCAATAGCCAATGGCATACCCTAAATTAATATGATGCCTTCTAGTGCAAAATTTGATTGTAATCTTAATTAAGAAGTATCTGTGCTTAGCATATCATAAAGTCGGTGCTATCATCCCTAATTGCTTTACTTAATTTCTAGATATGTAGAAATTGGGTGGGAAAATAAGTGGAATAAGATTCCATGATGGTACATGATATTAGATGCTTGTTGGTTAAACTTCTATTTTTTGAGCTTAAAGCTTTGGGGGGGTTTTTATGGTGGATGAGAAAAAAGATGGGAATAAGCATAATGATAGCATAGGTTTTGAAACCTTGTGCACTTGAAAAAGTTGCTTCTTCTCTAGAGCTTTTTGACGTATGATGAGTATTACAAAATACGGCTCATATAGTGGTGGGTGATGAGGCAGAAAGAAGTGAGAAAATCAAAACACATTTCCACAGCTTTTTGGTTCGAACACCATAGCAACTGCGGATTGGGCCCCTTTAAACAGATGTAGACACCCACTTTTAATCGCAACTGAGTTTCTAGTGGGAGTCACCCACCAATCAAGATTTTATATGTAGTTTTGTACAGCATAAATTAAAAGCCAAGGGGACAGATTGGGTGCCTATTTAAAATGATTCGTCCATAATGGTAAATCTTTAAGATATGAGTCCGTATATATATCTATGTTGGTTAACAGGTAGTTGTTGTGAGAATTTATTATTAATAAATATTAAAAATGAATCTATTTATATTTTAAATGAATAAAATTATAATTTATTATTCAAAAAGATTATTAGAAACGAATTATTATCGATTGCCTATATCTCTTTCTCTTTAAGCTTTGGTTTGTTTGATCCAAAGGAAAGAACTTTCGGTTTTAAATTGTACTTTGCTTGTTCAAATATAATTGAGATGGTGCCATGGCCCATGGGAATTTTGTTCTCAATTAGGGAGATATTTGCTTTAAAGCTTAGCCTTGCTTCTTCCTTACAAGCAAATGTAGAAACTAGAAAGCTTTCTTTTTTGGCAAATGTTGGTGCCCGCATGTGCCACAGTGATGCACGCAGCTTTAACAAAGGAGAGACAAGAAATTAACGAGACCATCTTTAACGAAGTACAACATGCTTTGATGGTCCGAAGGAGCAAAACGTGTTCATGTCTGTCTTCACACATATCAGTTTTCTGACCAACATTAATCGAGGTAGGTAGGGTAGGTCGCAGAATAAATTCGGCAATTGTGCTCTTCTTGAGTTAGGAATAGCACTAATAGTGGATCTCCTGCGGTGACCAATGCAGCCAAAGTATGGAATAGCTTCTTGGACCTAATTCTAGCATTATTATGTAGGTTTTGTTTCTGAGAGTCCGCCGGAACTTATGGATTCTGTGTCTGTTTGTTGCGATTTTTGTAGCAACCTACGATTGGACTGGTGTTGATAATTTGCTTCGAAGTGAAAAAATATGTAATAATGCTAGTCAGTTGTCACCAAAGAAAAGAAAGAAAGGCCTTTTGAACATCCAAACATATAATTGAATGTTTGAATGGGATGTGTCATGTTTAGATTCAGACATATTTAAGACATAGGATAGACCAAACATCTTATGAAAGAACCATGCGTTTCCCTTTCATATAATGTCCTCTGGCTTCAGGGCTCAATAAATTCGACTATCATATTCAAGCTTTGTATTGTAGATTCCCAAAAATAAAAAATAAAAAATAAAAATAAATAGCTATTAGAATTTAATGGAGTTAACACCTATTAATTTCAAATTTTAAATTTAAATCAAAATCAAAGGTTTAAATTTTTGTAACATTACACAACTAATCCGTTGTGATATACATATATATATATATATATATATATATATATAAAGTGTACGCTTTCTATCTATACAGTTAATGGGCCATTAAAATCAGGGCCACCACTTCCGCACACAGGACAAGACGGAATGGAAGCCCACGGATTTTACAACATTACTCTATATCATGAAGCCGAACAATATCTGCAGTTTCCCAATCCCCAGGTTTGGGCCCTTATGTTCTTGCTCACCTGGGTTTGGGGCCTTTCTGCTCTTGTTCAACTATTGGTTTTCCATTTTATTTTCAGGAGGGACGCATGGTCTCCAAATCGTATCTGCACCTTTAATATCCATGAGTCCAATGCCTTTTGCTTTCAACTCATCTCTAATCTGATCACCCTTAGTAAAATCTTTGTTTTTCCTAGCTTCTGCTCTTTCCTTTATCACATCCAATAATTGATCTTCCCCCAATCCTGCTCGCTTTAATGCCTTGTCTTTTAACTGCTGCAAAACCTGCCCCGCGAAGAATCCATTGTACTTTCAGATTTTGACAAACAAAACATGCATCTATATATTATACAGCAAAACTTAAAGTCATTACCTCAGCATAAGTGCATTGAGGAAGCAACCCCAGAATTTGTAGGACTTCCTTAACTTCTCTCTCAACTTCAACAAGAGACTGCACTAATGATAACTGTAATTGTTGCTTCGCATCCTGTAAATTATAACTAAATTATATAATCCTGCCTATATATGCATGTTTGTGTGTGTGTGTGTGTGTGTGTGTGTGTTCTAAAAACATACCTTTAGTTTCGTCAATGAATCGTTTGCTAGTTTCAAGACCTCTTGCAATACACCTTTCAGTATGGTTGAAGTGTCCAAGTTGTCTGACATTTTATCATTGAATTCACTGTGAAGTTTACGAATGCAGAATTGGGCTTCAGCAGTAATCTGAGCTGATTCCTCATTTTGCTTGGTTGCATCCTTTAGGCTTCCTTGTTGAAAGGATGATAGAGCATCTTCACAATCACTCAGGGTCTGAACAACAATTGAGTAGGTGAGGATACTATTCTGAGACATTGCATCAAAACTGGATACAGGTTTATGATACCGTGCCACAAACTAAAGAACAGTATTATTACTTATATTAGCCCAAATGAAAATGAAAGTGGTGTTTCTAGATCAATGTCATGCATATGCATCTAGCTCCATCTAAAAGTTATGAGAAGTCAGAAACACTTCAAACCTGATAAATGTAAAAAACTTTGTCTGATGCAATCTCTAACTGATTGACTGAAAAGCTTAGATCAGAATCGTAGGATTGGCTTATCAAGAAGTACCTCAAAGCGAGTGGATGATATCTTTCCGTGATCTAGAGCAAGATGAATCAATTATTACCATAAACAAAGAAAAAATATAAGGAAAATGAAAAATTTTGAATCTTTAAAGGGATAAATTAAACTAATCAGCCCTCATTGTTACCTGGCGAATTGTGAAGAAGTTGCCAAGAGACTTAGACATCTTCTCCTTGTTAATAGTAACATGACCATTATGAACCCAGTAACTAACGTTACTCTCTTGGGATGCGGCGCAACTCTGAGCAATCTCATTTTCATGGTGTGGGAATTTCAAGTCAGTTGCACCACCGTGAATGTCAAATTGGGAACTCAAATAATGCACACTCATTGCACTGCATTCTATATGCCACCCAGGTCTTCCAGGACCCCATGGGCTGTCCCAACTTGGCTCACCTGGCTTGGCAGCCTGCATCAATCATTAAATACCAGACATTTAGAGATGTTGGTGGTGAGCATAAAAACATACACAATAAGGTTAGTTACCAGCATTTTCTTTTAGTAATCATCCCAAATTAGTTGGCGTAAGGGACATGGATCCCTTATCCACTCTGTTCGATCAAAGGAAAAAGCATTTTAATGTTCATAAATAAAATCCTAAGCAACAGTCATCAGACACCTTTCACGCAAATACTAATTTCAGGGAATCAAGCTCTTCTCAGGCAATGCTATGCCCAAATAGCCCATCACCCCTGGCCTTCCCAAATTACCAGGAAAAAAATGCATCCTATCAGTCATAACTTTGTAATGACCATAACCTCCAAGCAACCCAAAATGAAAGCATATAAGCATATTACGCTTATTTGAGTGGTTTTCCAATGACTGGAGTGGGTTCTTACCTTCCATAATGCAAAGTCAGCCGGATTACGCTTTCTTAGGTCAATAGCAACCCGTTCACCGGCTCTATGGTTTTCCACCACCTGCCCAGATAACTTGCCATAGTCTGGGAACTTCTCCACAGCAAAGAACACATCACCATCAACAACATATGCATAGTCGTTGTTAATAATCTGCAAAGCACAAACACAGACAAATTAGAGTGTAAAGAAAACATTGAAGTGCTTGGAACTACAATCTACACATTTTCCATCTGTTTAACGATTCTAATCATAATAGCACTATGCAAGAAAGATTGCAACAGAATTTTACATCATTAATGAAGTGAAACATTTGGCTGAATCAAAAAGAAGAAGAAGAAAAGAATAGAGACAAAGTGCAGAGCACCAGATTCCTATACAAGATGTGATGAACTCCATATATTCACCAATGAATCAGTTCTCAACCAGTAAACCATGCAAGTTCACCCCAACATAGATTGGCAGTGTCACAGAATAAAAACGGTTATTACCCACTTCTCATTAGTTATTAGTCACAATGTATGTCCTGAAATAAACAAATGAAAAAGGTGCAAGTTAATTATTTATACACAAACCACTTAACTATCTAAACTACTAGGCGTAGGACAGATGCAGACACATGAAATGCAATTGCGTTCATCCAAATGTGTTACAAATCACACATGACCTTAGAATACCATCGAATATTAACCTTTAAATGCATCATCTGTTGCTAGATTAACGTCTCATGAATTTCTCATAATTGTAGGTCATTAAAGCACAAGAAGAATCTCAGACATCCAGTATTGCTTCTGAGTAATCTATATACACTAAGAATGGGTGTGACATGAGCATCAGAGATGGGTCAGAATGCTAAAATAAGAAAGAAAGAAACCTGAATAATCATATCCTTGATCTGCTCCATGTGATCAGAAACACGTGGCTGATGGGTAGGAGGGAGGCACTGAAGATCATTCATATCCTTCATATATTCTTTGCAAAACCGACTGCTCAAAGCCAATGGATTTTCTCCACTCTCATTTGCACGTCGAATAACCTGAAACACTCTAGGCATTAGCAATCACTGCATGACAATCAGCAAGAACAATGTGGAAGTATAGCAAAGAAAGAGATAGTCTCTATATGTAGAAGCCACAACTAGAAAATAAATCCAAAATGACAAAAATAGGATCCACTTGCAGAACAAATCCCCCAATTTTTGTCATATCAGTTTTATAACAAGAGGGGAATATTGAATACTACAAGTTTAGATATCAATTTTAATGCATTGTTTAGAATGTATTTGAGTATCACTTAAGCATATATTAATTCAGCCATTATTAAGTATTTAATCACCAATGAAAACCGTCACCTTGTCATCAAGGTCAGTGAAATTCCTAACGTAGGTAACCTCATAGCCCAAGTGTAGCAGGTACCTGCAGAAATTCAGCTCAAAAAATAGATACATATTAGTGACACCATAATTAGATTAAATCCACTAGAATTCAAATTAGAAAAAAAAAAAAAATCAAAGCTTGTAACTTGTCCACGAACAAATTATGAGCTAAATACTGACCTGAAGAGAATGTCGAAAGACACAGCTGCGCGAGCATGTCCAAGGTGGCTGAGATCATATGCAGTGACACCACAGACGTACATTCCGACCTTTCCGGGGACCTTGGGTGTAAAAACCTCCTTTTGGTTTGTCATTGTATTGTAGACTTTGAACTTGTTCTTTTCCTCCATATCCAGAACCATGGTTTGCTGGTTTGGTGTTCCTTCCTCCGTCCCAGCAGCCATGGTTTCCTGTGTAGTTTTCTGGTTTGCTGTTCCTTCCTCCGCATCCACCGTGTGATTTGCGTTTGGCCCGTTTGGGGATACAAGACCAGACAAACCCCTAACGTTAACAATAAAATATAAATGGATCTGAAAACCTACAATTATTCAATAAGAGAGAAGATCTCCTTCCGAACCTATAGAAGACTATACCTTGTCTTCACGTTCAATTGAGTTTAGTCTTTTATTTTTGTTATTTTTATCCTAATTCATATAGGATTCAAGATTGAGTATCTATCAATTTCTTAGTTTGAAGGAGGATAGGATTCCCAGAATCAGTGAAGGAGTTTGGGCGCCTAGGGTCGTGAATAGATTTGCGCCCTTAAATATGGGACGATCGAGTTGACTTGCCCGAAAAGCAAGCCACTGGGAAATTAAGAAAAAAAAATTTAAGAAAAAAAATGTATTTACACATAAATTTTATATAAAATTTTGATAATATTTTTTTTTATTTTTAATAATTAAAATTTATTTATTTTTTATCATATTTATTAAATATAACTTTTTTTTTATCTAAAAAGTTGTGTTAAATCTTAATAATTAAAAGTAAAATAATAAATTATTAAGATTTTATATAAATATGGTATATAAAATTTATGTATAAATAAGTTTGTACTCAAAAATAGGGTATAAATTTACCCAAAAAAGAAAAGAGAAAATTCCAATAGGTATGATAAAATACATTAATTATATGTTTTTGTAATTAATTTGTATGGAAAAAAGTTAATTTTAAATTTATCAATTAATTATGTATTAATTAAAATTGTTCAGGTATTGATATTAAAAATAGCATTTTTCAAGGCATATGTTAAGGGCATATTTTTGTTATTAATTTATATAAAAATATAAAAATTGAAATTAATTTTAATGTCATTACAATGAAGATGAATTTAATTAAGTGATTGATAAATTAAAGTTTAATATTTTTTAATAAAAATTTATGATAAAAAATTGTAACTATTTAAGAATACAAATTAAAAAAACTCTTAAAAATAATATTTTATTTTTACATTTTTTTGTATAAAAATTTATTATGAAATAATGTAATTAATGCTCCTTAAATTTTCATAAAAATAATATTTTACTTTAGGAATAGAACACAATAATAATAAACAAGTTGGTCCTCTCCCCACTTCGCAAGGGTGTAGTTATTCAATTAAGTATCTTGTTTTAAGTGTAAATAAGATGTTTACACATGCTTGAGTTCTTATAAAAACTTCATAAAATTAAAATTGATTATCTTAATAATAACCAATCCAATATTTCTGTACTAAAAATCTTATGTACTTCAACCAAATGTATGCTTGGAATAATTGAGCTATACTTCAGGCCATTTTGGCTAAACTTTCACATCCTTAGGTATAGAATTTGTTGATGAGTGTAGGAGATGTTTATTTTTAGCAATTTAAAGGAAGTAGGTCAATTGTTGCTTCTTTCTTGAACCTCTTCCCCCATACAAATCATTCTATTATTTCAGCTCAACCATTATTGCACCTTAACAGCAAAGCTTGGAACAACCTGCTTCAGAGTGATATAGACCTTTATGAATCAAATAACAGTTCTGGATTCTTGTGCTAGTGCGCAAAATTATACACCATGAAATAGAGATACATGAACATGGCAATTACGTTACTTGGTTCTTTGCCTCCACACTTTTGGCAAACTTCATTCTACCTACATGGAAACTACAAAAAGCATGAATAAGTTGTGGTTTCGAGACATTATTAATTTATTATTTCAAGAAATAGGGTTTTTTAGTGATTATCATTTTCTAAATTCATTCGAGTGGAAGGAAAGAAAAATCCCTTTTTGTTAAAGAGTAGCAAGTTTTCAACCACATGTCCTAAAAAAAGAAAAAAAAAGAAAAAAAAAAAAAAAAAAAAAAAACATACCTGTAATTGCAACTGGCCATTACCTTGTACTTTTACCTTGATCAACCTCCTTATCTTCATTATTTGGTTAATGGTTCTTCTCAAACCTCTTTGATCCACTTTCAATTACTTCTTGTCTCCTGCTTGTCACTACTCCCAACCATATCCATTCTTTTCATCACTGTCAAATCTTTTACCTCACTTTCTTCCCTTTTAGCTCCAATATCTACTCATTGGGAACTTTGTTCTCTTTCATGCACCATCACTTTCTCCAGGATTAAGTTCCACATCACATAGCACACTATCACTTCCCCATACACATGGCAATCTCAAAAACACATTCCAACTCAACCCAGATGGCAGTATCATAAGACTCAAGAAAGAGTAGCAGATCAACATAAAATTTCATATACATAATATGAAATCTACCAATGGATCTACATTTAACATAATAAAGGGAGTATAAACCAATCAAAGCTTAAATCAAATGTCTACCACA